AGGGTGGCCTGGAGAAAGGGGCCAAGGGGTGGGGGCCCGGCCGAGCTGGGCCGGGCCCGCCCGGCGACGCGTGCATCGCAAACTCCCCTCCGGCTTGCAAGGGAGCGGCCTTCCTCGGTTTGTAACAACGCCGCCGCCCCAGTTTGCAAATTGCAAACTCCGCCAAAGCCAGCTCCGGCACGCAAAGGGAGAAATGCAGCGGGAAAATGGGGGTGCAAAACAATTTCGGACGGGAAGGCCTTGGGAAGGTGGGAGGGACTGGTGAATCAAGGCCTGGACTTCCCCCCATCCTTGGATTCCCGGCTTGGTGACCCCTCCCCTCCGTACCCCAGGCTCTGCTCTTGCAAAGGTGGGAAGGAAAGAAGAATTAGAACGCAGACCTGGGGGGCGCGCGCCCCCTCCCTGGTCCTATTGTTTCGGGACTGCGCGAGGCCTCGCCACTAGGCGCCCCCCCAAGAAATTCCGCGCGCAGAGTGGGCATGGGGCCCCGCCCCCTTCCTAAGCTGGGGTTCTGTATGTGTAAGGGGGTGTCTGGCATCTGGGACACGCCCCCTCTAGTGCCCCCACCCCTAAAGGCAGAGAATCCTAGTTGATGGCAAGGAGTGGAGTGTTTTGCCCTCTTGAGTCTGGCCACGGGTCGGGGCGTTGCATGGGAAGAGTCGGTTATTTCCCGGGTGTGTGTTTGTGTGTGAGCGTGGGCCTGTGCATGCGTGGCTGGCAGCGTGTTCACCTGTGAATCTGCCCCTTTCCTCTTGCTTATCTGTGTGACGCCCAAACACTTCACCTGCCCCCCAACACACCTGGATCTCCTAGCTTGGCTGGGCAAAACCCCAAGTGTGTCAGGACTTTCCATGTGGGACTCCTCACTCTATGCCTTTTCTTCCCCACGGGGGAATTAAATACACGTTTGCACTCATACCTGGCTTTGCATGGGCCTATGCATTTGAACCTCAACCCCCGGGGATGGCCGGTGTTCTTGTTCACACTTGTACCTGGTACTTTCCCGGTCCTATTCTCTCTCCTCCCCACCGCCGTTTGGGCACGATCTACCTCCTGCTCCCGCCTTGATTTGCAGCACACCATGAGAATTAGGGCCTATATGTATGTTCCCATGCGTCTGTCTGCAGAAGAGGATGTGTGTGCACCCTTGGGGTTGGCCCCATGGCCTGTGTCACCGGCACGTAGGTGGGGGGGGTTACGGGGAGGGGGGCTGTGTCACCAGTGCGGAGGTGTAGGGTAGAGAAGGGAGTGCTCAGTAGAAGGTCCACTTTCACATTTGCTACTCAAGACACTTCCTCTGACTTGCACTCGTTTCTGTTGTCTCCTCCCCGTGCATGCCTGTTTGCGAACGTGAGACTATCCGAGTTCTGTTTATTGGGGCATCAGAGTGGGGACCATTTCTGTGGCTCTGTAGTTGGACACCCTGATTCCCTCGTCTTCTCCCCTTTAGGGCCCAAGGTTCCTTGCGCTAACCCCTAGTCGGCTGGAAGGTTCCCCCCAACTCCCCAGGGAATTTCCTGAGCTCCTTCTCAGAGGGCAGCTTGGGATAACCCCCGATATCCTCCCCTTTCCTCAGCTTGGTCTATGGCAGCTCCAGGACCTCGCACCCCGAGACGGACATCTTACACCGCCAGGCCTACGCGGCCCCCCACCCACTGCAAAGCTATGCCACCAACCACCACCCAGCAGGTACGGCCCCCATCCCGCCCCGCTTGGGCTGGCCCTCCCTCCGAGGCAGCTGATTGGCTACTGAAAGTTCCACCCTTCCTAACTGGCCGCGTCCTGTGCCGTGGCCCGCCCCTTACTGTCTCTCCTCTGATTGGCTACCTCTGAGGCTGCTGGTCCCTGCTTAATTTCTCTCCGGATTCGTCTGCCCCTGCCGCTGGCCCCGCCCTTTTCGCTCCAATTGGCCCCGTCCCATCAGCCCCCAAATCCCACCTTCTCTTCCAGGCTTTTCCGACTCTCTTCATCCCATCCCTCAGGGTTTACCCCTTCCTCTGTGCTCCTCGCAACTCTAGATTCTTTCTTCCTGATTCCCTTTCTTCCTGCTTTGCTTCTGTTCTGTGACCCTCCCCCTCATTTCTTAGATTTCCCCTTGGCCTTATCCTGCCCCCTTGGCCTTGCCTTTAACGTTCCCGATTGGCTCATTTCTTTGATCACGCTGCTCTTTTCCTGGTTGTACCAGCAATGAGATGGTGCTGTCCAGTTTGACCTTTGAGCTTCCTATTAGGCTCCTTCCTTCCCCTTTTTATTTTTCTTCCCCATCCTTTTTTCTTGATCCCACCTTGGCTCACCCCCTGTTGACTTGTCCTCTGGTACTTCTTTTTTGAGTCAGGGTCTCACTCTGTCCCGCAGGCTGGAGCTGTGATTACAGGCACTGCGCCCATATGCTACCACGCCCAGCTAATTTTTTAAAATTGTTTTGTGCTGGGCTCGGTGGCTCAGCCTGTAATCCTGCGCCTTTGGGAGGCTGAGGTGAGTGGAGTGCCTGAGCCCGTGGGTTCGAGACCCGCCTGGGCAGTGAGACCTTATCTCTACAATAAATAAATAAATAAATCAGCCAGGCGTGGCAGCGTGCGCCTGTGATTCCGGCTACTCGGAAGGCTGAGGTGGAAGGATCGCCAGAGCCCAGCAAGGCGAGGATGCGATGGCCGGGAGCGGCCACTGCACTCCAGTCTGGGCGACCGAGTGAGACTCCAACTCAAAAAAAAACAAATTGTTTTGTACAGACGAGGTCTCACTATGTTGCCAGGCTGGCCTCGAACTCCTGGGCTCAAGTGATTTTCTTGCCTCGGCCTCCCAACATGCTGGGATTACATGTGTGAGCCACCGATGCGTGGCCTCCCCTGGTCTTTCTGAGGCTCAGTCAGCCCATTGTTTGCCCTCCTTGCTGGAATTGCGCAAAGCCTTTGGTCACTCCCCCACCCCCCAGCCTCATGGAGGACTGTGTCCTTCTGCTCCTGGTTTCTTCACTTCTGGTGTTGTCCGCCATCTCTCACCTGGGGCCCTGCCCTGTGATTGGACTGCTCCCATCCTGCATTGCCATCTCACCTTTTTCCCTTCTCACCCCTCAGGTCTGTCTCATTAGCTTGGTCCTGCCCATTTTCTCCTCTTTGACACTGCTCCTTTCCCTGAGCTAACTTGACTTTGGCCTCTTTCCTTTCTCCCTTGACCCTGTCCTACCCCTCAGTTGGCTGACTATATTCCCTATTCCTGGCTAGGCCTCTCCGGACTCTTCGACACTGGCCTCCACCACGCGGGCTCAGCAGGGCCCGACGCCTCCGTCATGAACCTCATCTCGGCCCTGGAGTCCCGGGGCCCCCAGCCCGGTCCCTCCGCCTCCTCTCTCCTCTCCCAGTTCCGCAGTCCTTCCTGGCAAACAGGTAAGGTCAGCGCCGGCCCTGAAGGGCCAGGGTGGGGCTGGCTTGTGGTCCGCTCTGACCTGTGCTCTTCATAATCTCCAGCTATGCACACGCCAGGTCCCACGGAACTCTTCATCTCGGGCGCCTTGCCGGGTTCCAGCACCTTTCCGTCCTCCTCTGCCCTGTCGGCCTACCAGCACCCAGCTTCCTTCGGCAGCCGCCCCTTCCCTGTGCCCTCGTCCCTCAGCCTCCAGGACCCCCCGTTCAGTCCTCCGGCTAACGGGCTCCTGTCCCCTCATGACGTGCTGCACCTGAAGCCCTCACAGGCACCCACGGTGCCCTCTTCGTTGGGCTTCGAGCGCCTGGCAGGGGGCGGCGTCCTGGGGCCCGCTGGTCTCGGTCCAGCCCAGACCCCCCCTTACCGCCCTGGTCCCCCTGACCCACCGCCACCTCCCCGCCACCTCCCAACTCAGTTCAATCTGCTGGCTTCCTCTTCTGCTGCTGCCGCCGCCGCCGAGCAGTCCTCTCCACAGCTCTACAACTTTTCGGGTGCTGCCCCAGGCCCCCCCCCACCGGAGCGGGCCCTGCCCCGCCAGGACACCGTCATCAAGCACTACCAGCGGCCAGCCAGTGCCCAGCCCCCACCGCCTCCGCCACCAGCCCATGCCCTCCAGCACTACCTGAGCTGTGGAGGCAGCTATCCCTCCATGGGCCACCGGGCCAACCTTGCCTGCAGCCCCCTGGGCGGTGGAGAGCCCTCCCCGGGTTCTGGGGAGCCTAGCAAGGCTGGTCCCAGTGGAGCCACAGCTGGAGCGTCAGGCCGGGCCACGGGTCCTGAGGCAGCTGGGGGAGGCGGGGCCGGGGGTGGCGGCGGAGGTTACCGTCCTATCATTCAGTCACCTGGTTACAAGACAGGCAAAGGTGGTTATGGGGCAGCCGCCGGGGGTGCCACCAGGCCCCCACCACCCCGTTCGACTGCCACGCCCAAATGCCAGAGTTTGGGTGGGCCGGCGGCAGCCTACGCTACTGGGAAGGCCTCTGGGGCTGGTGGGGCAGGGGGCCAGGCCTATCCCCTGGCCAGCCGCAAGGGCTTCTGGGACCCCAGGCCTATGGGCAAGGGTTTGGAGGGGGGCAAGCTCAGGACTTGAGCAAAGGCCCCAGCTACTCAGGGGGTCCCCCGCAGCCCCCCAGTGGCCCCCCACCTCCTGGCCTCACCACATGTCAGAGCTACTCCCCAGATCAGCTACAGGGGCAGCTGTATGGGGTGCAAGGCGAGCCGTACCCAGGGCCAGCCGCCCACTCCCAGGGGCTGCCTACAGCCAGCCCCTCACTCAGCTACAGTACTGGCCACTCCCCAGCACTCTCGGGCCACGGAGGTGGCTGGGGACCCAGCTCCCTGGGAGGCGGTGGGGAGGCCAGCCCCTCTCACATCATTCGCCCTCTCCAGTCTCCACCTGCCCCCGGCCGCCCGCCCGGAGTTGGCTCCCCGGGAGCCCCGGGCAAATACCTGAGCTCCGTCTTGGCCTCAGCCCCGTTCCTGGCGCCCCCAGGAGCCGGCAGCTATGCGGCCGGAGCGGGCGGCTACAAGGGCAAAGGGGATGGCTCCGAGCTGCTGGCAGGCCCAGGAGGGCCTCCCGCCGAGCGCACAGAGGATGAGGAGTTCCTCATCCAGCACCTCCTGCAGGCTCCCAGCCCCCCTCGGACCTCAGGGGCAGATGGCTTGGTGGGCGAGAATGGGGCAGCAGACGCCTCCAAGGGACTTGGGGGCAGCGGTGGGGCCGGGGGACCGCCGGGCACACCCTACGAGTTGGCCAAGGAAGACCCCCAGAGGTACCACCTGCAAAGCGTCATCCGCACCAGTGCCAGCCTGGACGAGGGTGCCACAGCAGCACTCGAGCTGGGCCTGGGGAGGCTGAAGGAGAAGAAGAAAGGGC